TTCATTCTCCCTGCCGCCCCAGGATTGCACATTTAACTGAGGTGCCTAGCTAAGGAGCAGCAGTTACTGCAGGCTTTCTGTAAGGAAGAGTGGAGCACCTTCAGGGGCAAGCTGAACCCTCAGCAGAATGAATTGTCTTCTGCACACCCCTCTCTCTCTACAGAGGAAGCCCATAATGATTATGCTTCTAACCTAGAAATTTCTGCACCAAAAGAAAAATAGGATGAAAGAAGGATAGTTTAATTCTTTTGCTCAAAGTCAGGAGATGGACGTGATAATGGAACTCAGATTATGTGATTCATGGCCTACTGAAAGCCCACTGAGTTTATCTTTTTGTTCTGTGATTTTATAGTACTACATAAAATGGGGATCAGATTTTGTGATTAAGACATGGAACAATATACTGTAAAAGTCTCCTACTGGAAACACTGCTTTTATGTTATTATTGTTGTTGTTCCTCCTTTTGCCATTACTGCTCTTATTGTTACCTTTCCGAGCCCCCAAGAAATATACTGAAAATAGAGAAATGTAAATACTGCTTTGATGTAAATAATACAACTTGAAAGACACACACCACTGCTGGAGTATTTCCTTCTCTGATGCATGAATAGTGCTGCATTTTACTGTGAAATGATGAACAAGTCCAAGGAACATGTTAAGCCACGTGACAAAGAGAGAAGCCATAGTGCAAGATGCCTTTGAATGGGGGTCTCACCCTCGGCTCCAGCACAGTCCCGTAACCTCGCCGCTGTCTCATGACCCCCTGCGCCAGACAACTTCCATTAGCGGTCACACAGACTAGGTCAGCCCAGTTTTCTCTGGCATGCGGGGGCACAGTGAGAGGAGAGGGACTGAGGCACTACTTTGCAAATGCATGAGCCAGCAGCCTGGCTGTGGGAAAACGTGAGGAGAAGGCCAACAGCGCAAGTCTCACACCTAATGCTTGAGATCTGAGAGATCTGCAAAAGTAATCTTCCTTCTACTGAGAGGGCTCAAGAGGGGAGAAGGGGTGCCGTACGGGGTGCACCTTCCTGTGTGTTCCTGCACTACCAAACACAGGAACTCCCTGCTGCTTTCTGAGGCCTTTGGAAACTATCATAACACAAATAATAATGTATTATCATCACTATTAGTCCTTATTCATTTTCTTCTAAACGCTTAACTCATCAGAAGGAAGGAGGGTATCTTCACCAGAAATGGGATACACATTCACTGCAAGATGGAATCATGCTGCAACTTAAACAACAGACATGTCGCATGCTTGTTGCTGACAAGTTTGAAGCCACAGGCTAGAGGAGCCCTAAATCTCCTCTCGAATTTACACTTCTGGCTTCTCTTTCCCCCTCAGGAGTGCTGCACTAATCACTTACAATCCTCCTCTTGGAACTGGGTGGTAACTCTGCAGTCAAAAGCACTCTCACTGCAGTTAAAGCTTGTCTCCTTTATTAATAGGTATAATCACACTATACCACACCCCTAGCTTGAAGCAATTTGTACAGTTTCTGACTATATCCCTACCCTCTGCTGCCCAGAGGTGTTTATAAAGTGCATGTTTTCATATACTCATGAATGAGATAGATACAAACAAAAAGGCTTTTTCCTCAGGGAAAGTAGTTGGAGGGCTGGCTACGCACATGAAAATCTTACTCTTCCAGGTAGATCCCATTATTTGTGTTACATCAAGGGGCACAGAGGAGAAGAGTAGAATGAGACCTTACATGTACCTGAAGGGGAAAGGCAGATGTTTTGTTTTTGCAAAACAGTGGGTCAGTTTTTCGCGATGCATATGTGAAACACAATCAGAGTTACAATGCAATCAGTGGACTTCTTTGCTCTGATAGTTCTGCTTTTCCACCGCTACTGTCCTTCAGTCCGTACATCGGGACTGTGCACCAGTCTCCATTAGAGACACTTGGGTTGCTCATCGTTTGACACTACATGCCACGAAGGAAACGGGTGGGAAACAGCACTGCTTGAATGGGTTCTCTGTGTACGGCATGGAGGGGGGAGAAGAAATGCTCTCACTTGTTCGCTCATTTGTTTTCAAATATAAAAAGCAGAGCGCATCACGGATTAAATGAGATATTTATGGTATTTTTGTACATGTATCTGAAAAAGAGGTTTTTTTCTTTCTCAATTTTTTTCGATACAGATTTTAACTTAATACGTAACATGAATCCTCATGGAAGCTAATACAACCTAATAGCTAAATCTTTGAGCATTTAACACAGGCTAGAACATTTAATTATCTGAATGAATCTTAGAATAGTTCAACTTCTTTTGTTATGGTAAAATCAATCAATGGGGTTTCAACATTGAGGTTTCAGTCTTGCACAGACATGTCCCGGTGTAGAGCAGTTGCATCACTGGAGCCTTCATTTATTTCTATAATCAAAGCAATAATTGATGTGCAATGAGAAACATTTAAACAATTGTCTCTATTATACAGAGCTGAACATTTAAATTTTTCATGATACTATACTGTTTTCGGTAGGAACCAGGTAATAGGGTTTACATATATAATTTATTCCCATTCTATCTTACTTGGGGTGGTTTTACAATGCAAATATTCATGTTTAAGCCTGGAGCACAGATAAGTCTTCCTGCGGGCCACCTATTTTTTTTATTTTACTGTATTGTCTTTGTGACCTGTTCTGTAAATGCCTAAAGAATAATCCAGTACTGTTAAGTCAAATCCTCACCAGCTAAACCTATCGTTATTATTTCCATTGTATTTTTAATACAGAAGTTACAAATTTATTGCTTCTTTTGGTAAGCTAACTCAAAAAACCCCTTTCATACTTCCTTCACGATACAGCCCCATTTCCTATGTGCCTTTTGTCAAACATTTCTGATCACTTTCTGCAAGACTGCATTTTTGTCTCATTTATGATATTCCACCTTCTCCTTGGCTGGATGGCTAGGATTACTTGAAGCAGGACTCCTGCTCTGTTGCACAGAGAGGTCACCAAATGTCTCTCAATGTGAGAGACAAACTGTGGCAAACTACTAGCAGTGGCAAGTTGGAGCTAAGATAGTTTTCCAGCCTTTTAACCTTTTAGTTACATAATAAACATATAATTCATTTTTTTCTGAATTACAGAATTCTTCTTGATTTCTTTCTGAAACCTTGCAATTATGTGATGAGCCCTCTTTAGGGGAAAATAACTAGCTCATAATTTGTTGCTTGGCTTAGAAGAGTCAGGAAAACGGTTCAGCTCTATGTTATAGACTATATTCTCCTAACAAAAATTATATTAAGCCCTATACAGAGAAGAAATCCCCAGAAGGCTAAAGACACGACTTGGCTGTGGCTTTCACCGACAAAGTTAGGGAGTAGAAAACTTCCGTAATCAGAGAATTAGATAGCCACCTTACTCCTTGCCTGTAGCAATCCCCTGTACTTATGCTAGTTTCACCCTTCGGTTGTCACCTAACCTGCCACATGAACACTAGAATAAGCCACGTTAAAAGTGATGGAGATGGAAAAGATCACCGAAGAAAACATAAAATCTATATTGTTGGGCAATATATGTGACTGTTGCAAACGAATTTATTATTAAAGAAAGAGCAGCAGCAAAGTAAAGCTAGGAAAAGACCACAGGGCGGTTGCCATAGATTACAATGTGATGTCACTGATTTTAGCATTCTGGTTTCCCTGCACAAACACAGGGAGGGAGAGGGAGGAAAAGAGAATGGAAACCACAGCTGGGGAGGAGGGGCTGTAACAACTTGAGCTGGAACAGTTAGATGCACTGGAAAGTATAATGAGGAGAAAAAGGAAAGTAAGTACTTTGATGCACTCAAAAAATGTCTTCTATGTATACAAATATATGTCTTCAAGGCATGATGTGGCTTAGTCATGCAAATCTTTGACACAAACCAACTGCTTTTTTGTCTTTTTCTGCCTGTGTTAGACTGAGTCTGACCAACAGGAGGCAGGCAACTAAAGGAATATAGACAGTTTGTGATCCAAGTTGATTTGCAGGAAACATACGGAAAATCAATTGTGAATAACAAAGGCCAAATGATTTAAAAAAAACAGTTCTTGAAATCTGGGACAGTATTAAAAGTATTTCTATGCTCTAAAAACCAGGAGAGCTTTCCAAATTATTTATCTGAGAGGTCAGAGGTAATCTGACAGTGTTGGCACACATTTTGTCATGGCAGGCTGACCAAGACCAAGGTCCTTCTCAGATTTCTTTCTTCTGGGAACACTGTACTTTATGGTCTCAGAACAAAAAATCACCACGTTTATATGGGGTAAATGTCAATGCAATCACACCCAGGAGTGACCCTGATGTGACTCTGAATTGTACTAGAGAGTTAGGCCCCAGCCACTGAAGATGGTATAATTATGCACAATACAGACTAAGATCTACACATTCAGAGGGAGAAAAAACGTCCTTCCATTGCAAATCTCTTCCTTACTTTTGATCTTAGAACTTTAAGTATGTCTTACCTTTCCAGAGAGAAGCAGGCACAAGAGTAATCATTAGTAATGCATTCTGAGCTCATTCCTGAACAAGAACATTTGAATCTTACTTAGTGGTTATTCTTGAGTTAGAAAAAATACAGCCAGCTTAGGCAGGAGAACTTTCTTTTCATTCTGCCAGTTAAAACAAACTTCAGAGTACGTGGGCGACTTACTTTCACTAGCACACTTAATGACAGAAAGAACAAAAGGCAGCAACATACATTCTTTTTTAATAAAAATGCCCTACAAAATAATGGGTGACAGTAGAAAATTCCTTTTCTAATTTTGCTCAGAAACCACAAAGTCACTGAATTTTGGATTCACTCCTATTCCCAGACTCCCCAGGAGATTCGGTAAAAGCAAGACATGTTCACTACATGAACTACTCGAACTCTACATTTTCTACATGTTGATAAGGCTGCTACACTTTGCATTTAGAAGTTCAGGATTTCATTTATAAGGTGATGAATCCGGAAGGCTTTCATGTTAGGCCCTAAGTTCACGATCTCCAGCAAAAGCGGAAATGGAGGGTATGTCAGCAGCAAGCAGTGGAGCACACAACAGAGGCACCTCAGTTCAGTGCACAGATTCACACAGTTGACGGCAATGTAGAGATTACGTATGGGTCTGGAGAGCAAAATATTTATGTTAGCATAACATTACTTTCACCAGCAGCACTTCAACAGCAGTGCTTGAGCACAGGACCAAGTTACCATCTTGTAAGTTGTCAGGTTTCTTGCAAAGGTTAAAAGGAGCCGTCACTGCTGACAGATAGCTCTCTTCCTAGGCGGTAAAAAAATCTCAAAGATCATGCTTGTGGAATTCTGATTTCACTCCTGAGTACATGCAAGGTAGCAAGAAATACAGTACAGCAAGCATTCATCCCGGGCACTGCTCAGGGAAATGTACTGCCACAGGCTCAGGTAGACAGAGAGACCACAGTTCAGCTTTGCAGCCACCACAGAACTTGTTCCTGATCCGTCCTGTCCTTTAGCCATCTTCTTCAAAGGCAATTCACCCAACTGCAGTATTTAGCCAGGAGCAGTCTCTTCTTAGAGATCACTGCCTTAGGCTGATGCTGATGACTGAGCAGGGCAGTGATGGTGACTGTGACCAGGAGCAGCTGCTCTGTGGGTTGAACCCCTTTTTCCAGCTTCTCCCCATCTTAGCCTGGCTACAGGCTTGCAGCCACTCACAGAGAAAAGGGCTGGAAAGTCAAAATGTGCCTGCAGGAAGGGTGCTTTAAGTAGTAAATGTCACCCTACAGCTCAGAAAACATGCACTAGAGTGGGATATTCAGGGTCAAACTTCAAGGAAAATAAGCTCATCTATCAGTAGCAGAGCTAGTAAAACCAGGTTTTGTTCAGATTTGTGTGTTACACCCTTGTCATCTTCCCATGACAATAACCAGCTACCATAATCCTAACTCTTCTTTCCACATCTCTCTCCCAAATACATTTCTCTCAGGTACCTCTTCATTTACATCCTATTTCCAGGTCCCCTTGCCCAGAATCAACTCCCACTTCCCATCACCTCCCTGCTTCCAGATCCCTCTCTGGTTAGCGGGGCAACAAGTAATGTAGCAGACTTGGACAAGGCAGAGCAGCCAGGCAGTATTTGTTTGCTATTAGACAGAAGAGCCCAAGCAGGCAGAAATAAGTTGCATTTCTGCTACAGCCTTTCACCCAATAGGGCAACAATTTCCATGCTGATTTTCATTAAATGCTTTGAGAATTTAAATCTCTTCAAGGTCTTTAATCTTCTGTCAGATTTGTTTGGAACTGGACATCATTGGGCAACGACGCACAGATGGTGGAATCACATAAGCCTCCTTTCACTGGGAAGCCATATTAAAAACCAACAAACAAAGCGTTAAAAATAATTACGCTCCTTTTTGCAGAAAGGATGGAGGCAGAAAGACGTGACATAACTTGCTAAAGATTATGCAGCGATCAGGGTCAGAAGCAATGTTTAGGGTCTCCCTTCAAAACGTCTTCTGAACGGTGCTTACATGTACTGTGATGTGCAGAAACCGCTGGCTACAGACAGCAGCAACGGCTGCGAATACGGTGTGCCAGACCATATACAAACTCGGGAGAAAATCTGCTTCCTCCTTCTCTCTCTCCATTCTCACCCCTGGCTAATCAGTCTCAGGAACTTACTGGATGGTGGTCAGATAAACAGGTCTACAGAGGCAGCTGGGAGCATTTCAGAAAGATACATATTATATAAGCCGCAGCTATTACATAAGTAGCCCTGTGTAGGATTGTGCATTTTAGGACAGCCCAAACTGCATGCCAGAACAGCAGGTCATTGCCTGTGCTGTACATCCCACCGTGACTGTTGCTCAAATTACTCTGTTTCTAAAAGGCACTCCCAGAGTCGCAGTGCAGAATGACAGACCTCAGGTCACTGACAACCAGCCCATTTTGATTGCTACAAATATTACCATTGTTTTATAAGAAATCTCCCAGAAAACTTTCCTGCTGTTACTGTTGCATCGATTAAGTCGCGGTATCTACGTAGGAAATCTCTTAACGCTATTGATCAAATCAGTGCCCGTGCCTGTCGCCTAACACTACGCACAGCTCCTGGGAAACGCCGTGAAGCGCAGCGGCGGCCAAAGCGTGTGTCGGAGGGGGACGCTTTAGGTCTCGCTGTCCCTCACAGGGAGCGGGGAAGGGCTGCAGCTCGGGCTCCTGCCGCCGCGTAGGGGCAGCGTGTGCCGAGG